GTTTATTTTCTTTCTCTCTCTTATAGCTTCTGAATGTGCCTATGATCTTCTTACTGCATTTATTATTGACTGTACTCTTGAATTAGTGATTAACTGTGCATTTGTTGGAATCTTTCTTCCTTTTGGTAGGCCGCTTCTCGGTAGTATTGCAAACCCTTGCTTCCCAAGAAAGCAGTCAACATATTTTGGCCATCTGTTTCTTGATAAATTTAAACATCAAAAGCAACGTGAGATGGTATATTTTTCTCAATTCTTTCTTTTGCGTCTGTTATCTTTCCTGTCCATTTCTACATGTCATAGGCTTAGTCTGCTTTCTAGTTTCTATTGGTATGCTTTTGTTGAGTGTGGTTTATTTATTAGAATGCAGCCGTGTCTACATCACATTGCTCTCAGCCTAACACCCTTGAGTATGATATGGCAATGGAATGGTGCTTGCTACAAGAAAGATTAGATCGCACCTGGGGAAAGTTGTGCAAGGTACCAAAATCCTGATAGCTCTTGAAAATTCTCAATAAATTATTACCAAATTATTTATTATTCGTTTTTTTTTTTTGAGTTCTTCAGCAACAAATAGAGGAATTAAGAAAACTCAGGACAGACCTCAAGTCCGGATGAGTTACAGGTTCACGGCTTTGGTCATCTTGGTGAGTGCTTCTGACTCTGTAAGCCATTTGCATGCAAGTTTCTTGGAAGTCTTCATGATTTTAGTTGCTGTTATCTTGTTCAGTTGTTCGTTGTCAAGTTGCTTCAGGAATATTGAAAATGATGTTCATTGGCTATCACAAGTCAAACTGGTAGTTGGCTGCAGGTAAGAGCCAAGTAAAAGTTTCAAGGAAAAGAACCAATTAACAATAAAGTCGGAATATTTTTTTTGGCTATTGGTAAATGTTACTTTAAGCTCAGTTTGGAACAATTAAAGTATTTCTGCTCTAAAATAATGACATTATAACCGTACATCCTAAATGAAGCAATGAGCTTTTAATTGGTTTTTAACAGAGTGATTAACTGGCAGAAGGTGGTGAGTGTGTGCGGATACATATCGCTTTGTTGCTTGGAGACGGGGAGGATTTTTGTCGAGCCCATGCTCAAACGTTTTGCAGGCTTCTTTTGGAAGTTGAAATCAACTTCAAGTCTCTTTTCTTCTCTGGATATGTACATTTTATCCTAGAAAATTGTAAATACTTAGGAGTTCTGGTGTTGGTAGTTGTATTCCCCGTCCTGAAGATATTTTAAAATCATGTAGAATCTTAGATTTGTATATGTTGATTTAGGTTTTCGCTCTTCTCTGGCACAAAACTCTTAATATAAGAAAGCGTAGAACGGTGTTTGGAAGTAAAAACATAAAAATGAAGTTGGTAAAAGAGCCCGAAAAAGGGATCACATAATAAAATGTGGGAAACTTACTTCAGGGGGTTAAGGATGGACAGAAAAGAAATATGTATATATTGAAAAACTTATTACTTTGGCATAATAGTGTAAAAAAATATTAATATCTTATGTAAATTAGAAAGAAGTATTAATATTATATAATAGAATTACTTATAAAATTTAGAATCAACATTAGCCAAACATAAAAATAAAATTAGGTAACGGGACTGCATAACTTGATGCGTGCAGGAATCATAACACTTAAATTTTGACTAATCTACTCATTTCATTTCATATATTTGATCCTATTCAAAACCAACAAATAGAAAAATATATTAGACGCGAGCCTGACTTGCTATAAATAAAAAATCTAGTTAAGTAATTAATTACAAATACATTTTACAGAATTAAATATTTAAACTGATATATCCAAAATATATGAACTATTTCATATATATATATATGTTAGCTAAATGTAAGTAACCAAGTGCTGAATGCGATCTAATAATCTAATGAAATTCAGATTTTGGTTTCAAATCTAAATTTTAGATAAGTAATTTATATTAAGATAGATCATAATTATAAATATTTTTCAATGAGATGGTTAATATTTCTATTTTTTTAATGTGTAAATGTGAATATTGAACGATATTATGGCAACTGATAGAAAAAAAAATATATATATATATATATATCTAATGTATGAGTTTCAACAATTAATGTTATATATTTTTTTCATACAGTACATTCCAACTGTGGATTAAAATTGCAATAACTGAATGTGTACTACTTAGGGTAAAACTATGGGGCCTATGGCCATTGTATCTAGCTGATACCTGATGTAATAAAACCGGTGCAATCAGAACCGTAGATCTACTGACCTTATACTGGGCCCCCAGCATCAGCAATATAAGCATAAACGACGTCGCATAACTTCAAAAAAATGTGACCGTTAATTGAAAACGCATTAACAAAGACACCCCATTCCGATTTGCAGCGAGTAGGGAGAGTTTCCTACTCTTAGCGAGTGACAAAAGGATTTTCGCCCTGCTGCACACCTGTCTGTACTAACTTGGCACTACTCTCCTCTCTTTTTTCATGCTCTCTTCATTCTAATGCTCTCTCTCTCTCTCTTCACCATCAGATCTTTTTCCTTTTTAACCTAAACCCAAACTCAAAACTTTCTGGGGTTTTTTCAAAGGTTGTAAAAGTTGAGATTCTTTCTACCCAGAAATGGGTTGTGCACAGTCAAGAGTAGACAATGAAGAGTCGGTTTCACGGTGTAAGGACCGCCGGAATCTGATGAAGGAGGCGGTCGTCGCACGCAATGCCTTTGCCGCTTCTCATTCTAGTTATGCCATCGCCTTGAAGAATACGGGCGCCGCTCTAAGCGACTACGGCCATGGCGAATCTGACTATTCTCTTCACCATGACCAACAACAAAACCAGCCAATGGACTCAACTCCTCAACCCCCTCCCCCTCCTCCGATTGACAACCTCCCTCCCCCTCCTCCCCCACTCCCTAACTTCTCCCCCAGCCCCATCAAGCGAGCAATCAGCATGCCTGCCATTCCTATCAACACCCGGAAGCCGGGTTCGCATCTACATTCTGCTGCAATCACGGAGGAAGAAGAGGAGGAGGAGGAGATTGAACGACAAGAAGAAGAACAGGGAGATGATAGCGAGAGGAATAGGAAGAGTGAGTTTGGAGGAGGGACTCACATGGAGGCTAAGATGCCGCTTCAGGAGGTGACCCCTCAGAAAAACATGGCTTGGGATTATTTCTTCGTGGTGGATAACATGCCTGGACCGAGCCTCGTCGATGGAGGAATGGAAAACGAAAATCGAAATGTTAATGAGGAGAGCGTACAATTTACTGGGATTCCTGATATGGGTGTTGGTAACAGTGATGAAATGGAGCCGAAGACCCCGGAAAAAGGGAGGGAGGAGAAGGATGAGGACGAAGAGGAGGAGATGGAGAATGGAGTAAACAAGGAGAAGCAGAAGATCGAGCACTCGAAAACAGCGCCACCGGATTTCAGGAGGATTGTGAAGGGAGTTTCGGGCCTGAATTTGGTGAAGGTTTTGACTGAGATCGACGACCAATTCTTGAAAGCTTCAGAGAGTGCTCAGGAAGTGTCAAAGATGCTCGAGGCCACTAGGTTGCATTATCATTCCAATTTTGCTGATAATCGAGGTAACTGGGTGATGGATCGCTCAGAATTTGAAGCTTCTGAATTTAAATTTTAGGCATGAAGATTTGTGTATCTAAATTGAATCATTCTCTTGGTTTCTTTGTTTTAAGTTAAAAGGTTTAGCATTTTTTTATACTAACTGGTGTATATTATAATTGAAGAACAAAGTGATCTGCCCAAAATTTCATATTAGAAAGGATCTAATGCCTTCCCCCTTTTTGTATCAGTTGAGCTTTTTGTCTTTCATGTAACTTTCTAGGAGAATCTCACCA